AACAATCGATACGGTCGGAAAAAGAGGAGTACGTAGCCAGTCAGGCAGCCGGGCGAAAGTACCGGGGCGAGAGATAGATGCGAGAGCGTTGCGAGATATCTGGTCGAGTGGAGGCGGTCGAGCGAGCGAGCGAGCGAGCGAGCGAGCGAACGAACGAACGAACGAACGAACGAAGCGAGGCTTTCGCTTACGAAATCCGCCCGCGCGCTTCGCCTCGCCTCGCCCCGCCTCACCTCACCTTGCTTCACCTCGTCCCGTCTCGTCTCGCTTCGCTTCGCCTTGCCTTGCCTTGCCTCGCCTCGCCTCGCCTCGCCTCGCCTCGCCTCGCCTCGTCTCACCTCGCCGAAAAGTCAAGGCTTTTGTCAAGGGTGTAGCGGAATGCGTGTATAGTCGCCGGCGAGAGCGAGAACGATCGAGCTGTACCTGCCGGCTAATTTGCGCGCTTTCATCTCGCTCCGCGTTCATCGTCCGCGCGATTAACGCCCGGAAATCAATACGCACTGGCTGTTGTGCAGTCCACGATGTGCACCTCACATGTAAACTCGGCTCCGTCGCTCTACAGTCACGACCAAAGTCATCAGGATTCTCGTACACGGGGCGCTTTTGACAGGTGGGAAAGAGAGAGAGAGAGAGGGAGGTAGATAGGCCGTGCCGCACGAGAAACCGACGTCGCGTCTCGCGATTGCGACGAACCGCTCTCTTGATATATTGATGCGCCGCTATATTTGAAAATGACGTATGGATGCGAGTCTCTCTCTCTCTCTCTCTCTCTCTCTCTCTCTCTCTCTCGCGTCAGCCAGCTAGATGCCGGAATAGCGAGTCACACGAGCGCGCGCGAATTGGACGGACGGGGGCGAAACCAGTTCGCGCTCGCTCGCAAACCGGCCTGGAGCCGAAAGGGACGTCGGGAATAATTCGGGCCGCGCGACGAAGGGTCAAGGGTTAAGCGGGCGCCGGTAACCGCTTCCACGCTCTTCGTCGGAGGGAATGAGCTCGATGGTGCAGCGCCGAGACGAGAAGTGGAACTCGCATGCGTGCGCCGTGTTGTTTGTGCAGCAGCCAGGGAGGAGAAACGCGCCGCGGCGACGTGGAGTACACTCGCCGGGCTCTCGAGAACGGGTGGAGAAGAGGAGGAGGAGGAGGAGGACGCTGAAGTAGCCGGGTGGGGAAGGGTACAAGGGGAGATGGAGATGGAGATGGAGATGGAGATGGAGATAGATAGATAGATAGAGAGAGAGAGAGAGAGAGAGAGAGAGAGAGAGAGAGAGAGAGAGAGAGAGAGAGAGAGAGAGAGAGAGAGAGAGAGAGAGAGAGAGAGAGAGAGAGAGAGAGAGAGAGAGAGAGAGAGAGAGAGAGAGAGAGAGAGAGAGAGAGAGAGAGTGAAGCGTTGAGGGGGCGGGTAGGGGGAAGAGAAGATGCGAGACGCAGCACCAACGGTGAATGGGCGAAGCTAAAGGTGAGGGCGGGAGTGGGTACGGTGGCTGCGGACGAAGGGAGGCGGGCGAAGGGGGATCGGAAGAGATATCTGGACTCCATGATGTAAGGAGACAAGGGGTGTGCTCCCCCTCCCCCGACACATACGCGTGTTTACGTTAGGCGGCCAATAAGATGTTCTCCAGTCCGGCTGCGTCACCGCGAAAGAGCCTCGAGGAAGAAGCGTGTATGCGTGTTTGCACGCGCTGGCTGCGCGTGTACGTGCGTGCGTGCATGCGTGCGTGCGTGCGTGCGTGCGTACGTGTCGTGTACAAAGCGCGAGCTTGATATCGTCTAGTTATCGATACCGAAACTCTCCTCTCAGCAAGCGTACTTTATCTTCGATTGCAGCTAGATGGATGGTCGCTGGCGATGTTGCGTGCGCGCGCACGCACACACACACACATGCGCGCGCGCGCACGGGGCTGCTCGACCTGTGCTCGAAACGCAACTTCGGTATCAGCGATGGGGGGGGAAGAGGGCGTTTATTACTTATCTTCGTTTTGCGTTAGCCGAACAGCTGATGCAAAGCGTGCTCGTACGGCTCGTATTGATCTCTTATCGACTTATCGTATTATCGTATATTTCGCCTTTCGATACTCGTCGTATCTTTGATATCGGTCGCATCGACGGGTGGGAGAGGCAGGGAAAGGCGGCAGGAGGCAGGCGATAGCGAGCAAAAATGCGAATTCTCGCGTCGCTGCGTTCCTCGCCGCTACCTGAAGCTGAAGCTGAAGTTGACGCGTCGGGTATCACGAGGAGAGACGCGAACGCGCGCCGCGTTGCTCACGACGACCACGAACGACGTCTCACGACCGCGGCAAAGGTGTGGTAGGGTTGCGGACGCGCGAGGGTACCTTAAAGGAAATGTCCTCAAGGTGGACGACCAAGTGCACATTAGCCTGAGTCTGTCCACTGTGCAATGACTCAGCTTGTAGCGAGCCGGTTAATGACGTGGAACGCGCGATTAGATTTCTAGAAAACTTTCAACATGCGCGGCGCGGCCGCAATCAATGATGGTTATCGAGAGGTCATTTGTTTCTCTGTGATGTATATACGAGATACTTCTCCCCCTTTCTCGCCCGTCTCCCCCGTCCCCAACGTCCACCAACGAGTCGCCACGTTGTGCGATTTTTCGAGCGGGGCTCGGGACTCGACCCGGTCCAACTTGGACGAGTCTCACCCTCCGCGACGTCTGGCCTTTTTTCTCCCTCGAATGAGAGCGTCCGATTAAAATTCCGCCTGCTTGACATCTACTTGAAAATGAGCGACGAAAGGCAAATAGCGCCTCGCCTCGCCGCGTCGTTACGACGCGACGCGACGCGACGCGACGCGACGGGGCCCGCATTCACACGCAAGCGAGCGAGCGAGCCTCCTGTGTCTTCGAGCCGACAATGCTCGGCGCCTCCTCCCGTATGCTCGGCGGAGGAAGCGAGAAAAAATTGTCGTCGCGAGCGGTGACATTTATACTTCATTATCTCGATTAAAACCGCACGATAAAGGACCAATTTCCGATACGTTTAACAAGATCGTCGGAGGCCGACGTCGCCTCGCGTCGTACCGAGCCGGCCGCCGGCCTTTTATGTAACTCGCTGACGTTCCTACCGACACGACGCGGTGGAATTTTATATAACCCGGACAGGCGCTTGGTTCAGAGCCCCTGGACTCTGCTTGCCTAAGGAACAGACGTCTCAGGAGCGAGTCGCGAGACGACGAGACGAGTCGGTGCAACGGCATCGATGTCGTTGTTTTTGCGCCGCATAACGAGACAATCGATCGCGCGCGCTGCGGACTCGTGAGGGAGAATGCGAGATAGATAGATGGGCAGAGGATAGGCGAGAGGGATAGAGACAGAGAGCCAGCCCAGGCCGTCCTGTACAGCTGATATTTGCCATTTTTGCTATTGTCGCGTACTCGACAGACACACACACACACACACACATCGGCGGATCGACCCGCGCTTCCCGCCGACGCAGTGCGATTCGAACGCGCGGCAGATGCCTCCTTCTGCAGTATTTCCCACTGCGAAAAGATCGATCGACCTCGTTGTGCGTGCTCGCTAACACGTATCCCGTCGTAATTGCCGTATCTCGTCGCAACGTCGGCTGCTGCGGACTCGAAACGCGTGTTACGTATTTCTCTCTTTTGTTTCCTCGCGCGCCCCTGTTCCTCCCTTCCTCCCTCCCTCCCTCGCGCCCCCGGCTGTTTCCCCTTTACCGTTGCGTCCGTCGTCGTGACGGACGGGCTCTCGAGGATCGCACTCGTCGTGAGGACGGTTCGTCTACGCGCGAGGAGGCTCCACGTGGTATTAGTTCGGAGGTACGCGGTGTATTTACGAGGGCTCCTCACGCGAAACGTTGCGTCTCGTTTGCCAATGTTGCGCGGGCAAAAACCGGGGATGAACTGAAATTTCACTTGGCGCAATGGTCGCCCGCGCGACCTGGAAATATCAACGTATTTCCAGCTCGATCGTGTCGATTAATAAGCCGCCTGTAGCGGCGCGGTGACGGCGGGTCAATAACCGGCTATTATCGGCCGCTTCTCGTAAACGCTAACGCAATCATAACTTACCGCCGCGCGCGCGCGGGGCACGAGGCGCAATTTTCTTTCAGCAACTTGACGGATAATGAGCGCGCGGCACGATGTGCCGAATCGATGCTAATAATCGCCGGCGCGCATCTCCAGCTTGTCTCTTCTTTTCTTTCGCGTGTACTTACAGGGGAGAGAGAGAGAGAGAGAGAGAGAGAGAGAGAGAGAGAGAGAGAGAGAGAGAGAGAGAGAGAGAGAGAGAGAGAGAGAGAGAGCTTGCGTCACGTCGCTCGCTCTCTCGCTCATTTGCATGCTAATTCCTCCTCACGTGCAGTCGTAGATAGAAATACGCGGACGCGTAATCGCCGGCCGATTACGCGGAAAATGGAGAAAGATAGAGGGGGGCAGAGAGAGGGGGGAGACATGGGGACCGAGACACGCGGAATATTCTGTGAAGATACAAGTGTTTCGTTATCGCGTGACCAGCGCTCGGTGTGTGCGCAGCCGTGTGCTGCCGATAATTAGTCTCCGCGATTACTTCGCTAACCGAGAGGAAGAAGAGTGAAGAGAGAGAGAGAGAGAGCGAGATACTCATCTCGCTCGCTCAACCTCGCAGCTCGAGGCGAGTCCTCTTCGTCGGCCTGGCGAAATTTCATCCAACGATCGCCGCGCCGACTGCGCCACGCGAGCGTTCGCGCGTCAAACGCGCCGCTATCGGCGCAAACTAATAAGCCGGGGGGATCTTTTCGCACGCGCGTCTGCCTCCGCTAAATCCGGAGCCGCGGAGATTATTCCGATTTCAAGCCCCGCGGGAAATCCAGTTACCTAACGTCGAACGGTCACTCGACGCTGACTAACGACGACTAACAAGTTTCCTCGGGGGTTGGTTGACGCCGCGCGAATGTAACTCGAACCGCGAGACCGTCGCGTTGTTTTCCTTCTGCTTCTTCTCCTCTCTTTTTCTCCGCCCTAACGAGCCACCGTACTTTGTTCGGCAGGTGGAGTGTCATCGGTCGCAGCCGTCGGTCCTGCTGATCGTCGTCCTCGACACCGACGACGAGTGCCGGCGAGACGGCTTCCGGCAGGCACGGAGGACGAGGATTCTCGGGCAACGAGCGGGAGGTCGACACTCGGCGAGTTCGGACAGGAAACAGCGGACGAGGAGGAGGAGGAGCTGGCGACGGTGAGGAGGCACGACTCGGGCACTACCGAGGAAAACGCGTCCGACCGCGGGAAAGGGCGAGAGGACCATCGCTCGCTGATCTCGTCGTTGTCGGGCGAATAAAGCGCGTGTGTGAGTGCGTGGGCTCGTTTGCTCGCTTCTCGGTGCGTCGCGGGACGCACCGGCTGTTTTCCTCCTCGGCCGGCCGCGGACCTTCGCCGTGCGAGAGAGAAACGTCGTCGCGTCCGTCATTTTCCCCGAGACGCCGTCATCGGGATCTTCGTCCTACTCTTTTCCTCTTTCCCTCCCCTCCCTCTCTCTCTCTCTCTCTCTCTCTCTCTCTCTCTCTCTCTCTCTCTCGCGCGCGCGCGCGCGCGAGCGCGACTCGCAAACACCGAATATATACGCGAGCGCTCGATTCATTCCCGACGATCATTCATTAATCACGATCGCGCGTCCGCTCGCTGTAATCGCCATCACCGATCGTCGACGAGCGTTACTATTATTATTACTGTTACCCGCTGATACCTTGTAAGCGACTTCGCCGTCGCGTACTTTGCTCGTACCTTGCCTCGGCCGATTCTTCGCGACGCGACGCGACGCGCGTGAACGAAGACCAGAACGACAACGAGGACGATGATGAAAACGGCGGTGGCGGCACCGGCAACGCGCGTGGTCCCGTCGTGGGAACGATAACGAGCGGCCCGTAGCGACGGCAACGGGGACGCATGGTGGCGGCGGCGATATTAATAACGGCGATGACGAGTCGCAGGTGGAATACGGAGCGCAGGAGGCGCGGGTCAATGAGGAAATTCTCGGGCGAGCAGCGCCGCGTGAGGTGCGCCTACCTTGAGCGCTAGCGGGTCGCGCGGAACGAGACGCGAAGGTGGGAGGGGACGAGAGGGGGTGAGACAGAGGGCGAGGGAGGGAAATAGCGATAGCAAGGAGGGGAAGGGGGAAACGCGAAGGCAGACTGGGAGGGAGAGGTAGAGACTGGTTGGGGGATAACTGAGAGCGGGACGGTAGAGCGAAACGGGCAACAACGTCGTGGAGAGGCGCGGCGAGGCGAGGCGTGGCGAGACGAGACGAGGCGAGGCGAGGCGAGGCGAGGCGAGGAGAAGAGAAGAGAGGAGAGGAGAGGAGAGGAGAGGAGAGGAGAGACACGAAGCGCGCGGCGGGGTCGCGTGCGCACGGTCGACAAATACGCGAACCTTTGTGCGAACAGCTGAACCGGAAGTCGAGTCGAGCGCGGACTAATCGTCGCCGATAGGGTCAGTCGGGTAAAACACAGGCGAGTGGCCGTTCTCATCGTGGAGAAAGAGAAAGAGAAAGAGAAAGAGAAAGAGAGAGGGAGAGAAAGGGAGAGTCTTTGGTTTTTCATTACGGAGTCTCGGAGATGGCCGGACGCTTGATTAAAATATAATTATTCGTCAGAGCCGGTAGAGAGAAGGAACGATTCACGCACACACTGACACATGACACACACACACACACACACACGTATACATACATGAGCAAAATACGCACGCACACGTGCATGGGTTGCGCGTTACGGGAAGATAAATTCGACGTCCGACTTATCTAGCGGGTTTCATTGGATTCGCTTCGCGCGCGCGCGCGCATCCTCCCCCCGCTTTTCGCGGAATTGTAATTAGAGTTGTTTGGGTGCCGGTAGCTAGGATCTAAATTCGCGCTCTCGCCTGGCGAACTCATTTGGGCAGAGATAGGCGCGATAAATAGTGTATAATTGCTCGGGCGCGAGAGCGCGGAACAATTTTTTTCCTAATTTAATATATACCGCCGTAAAACGACAGGTGCGCGCACGAGGGGGGCGGCGAGAGGAGGGTTCAGTCGAGAATTCAGCACGGCCGCAGCCGTGCGTCTCTGAAATTCAGAAGGGTGGTTAACCCCATTGCGATGCCGCCGTGAGGAGAGCCTCGCGTCGCGCGTTCGCGCGCGACTGCGAGGGGCGAGAGGATCGCGAACGTATCGCTTCTTGAAATACGCGTATATTGGCGTACATCTCGGTATTAATAGCGCGGCGGTGTGTGTGCGCACGCGCGCTCTTTCGATTCTCGCGGGACACATGTCGCGCGTGTGTCTTCTTCATAATGACACGTACGTACATGCGAGCGCCGGAGCAACGGTCTTTCGATTAAACAACGCGCGACACGTGGTTATATCGCTCGTTTCGCCGTAAAACGAAGTCGACGACGCGGCGCGGCGCGACGCGACGCGACGCGACGGTTCGAAATACTCGAGTTGCGTAACCCGAGGTTAGGTATACTAACCTAGGGAACCGGTGCCTCCCTCCTCCCACCCACTCCTTCCCCCACCCGCCGCGGGTTTGTAATTAGAGTTGTTTGGCGCGTATCTAAATGTGGCGAGTATCTAAATACGCGCACTTATCTGAAAAACCCGTCTAGATAAAAATAAATGTGATAAGCAAATTGTAATCGCGCGCGCACGCGATCGTCGGCCCGATCGGCGCAACAATCGGCACGATTGGTGGGACCGGCGATATTTAACGACGGTCGAATAAACTGCGATCGATATCGCCATGTGAAAGTGACTCAATCATTCAGACGAGAGAATTCTCTCGTCTCGTGAGCACGCGCGCGCGCGCGACGGTAATTCCAATACGAGTCGTGTGTGGATCGCTGCTTAAAACGTTCGCCGAGAAACGTCTGCGGGCAACAACACGCGTCGCGGCGCTTCCTCTCTCGCGTGTTGCTCTTTCTCCTCGTTCTTTCCTCCAATCGCTCGGCACGCTCGTGCAATCCGATCCGCGGACGCGATCGTTCGATAGTCGCTTCGACCTCTCATCGTATTTACGTAAGGTAATGCCGCGCGCGTGAACGTAAACGACACGCGCGAAAATTACAAACGACGCGAGGCGCGGCGCGACGCGGCGCATACGGCAACGAGATGCGATGGTATATAAACTCGCGATATAAACAAATCCTTCGAAGACCCATCGCGACATTGATATATATCGTACGATTCGCGGACTCGGTCGTGTCGCGCGCGAGTCGCGCCGCCGCCATTCGATCAGGTGCGCGTGCGCTTCCGCGTGTTGCGCGCCAAGAAGTCCCGCGGCGTGTTCTCCCGCGGATTCCGCGTGCTCGCGGCGGAGAGTCTCTCTCTCTCTCTCTTTCTCTCGCCCCCCTCTTTCTCTATCCTTCCCCCCCTTCTCTCTCTCTCTTTCTCTCTCGATCTATCTCTTGACCTATCTCTATCTCTGTATTGTTTTCGCGTGATTTCCCGCGTGCCGCACTACGTATATTAATTCGATCTTTCTCGTTCGACCCCGTCCCAACAGAGATCGCAGCGGAAGCGGCGACACGCAAACGAGGTGGAGAAGGAGGAGGAACAACGGTGCGAGCAAGAAGGGGCAGCGGAAGAGGAAGAGGAAAAAACGAGAGATTCGGCGATTCTGCCACTACCGCGGCCAGTGTCTACGCGTGTGTGCGTGCGGTGCCGCGTGACAGTGAACGTGGACGCGTGTGACAGTGCGCGGTGCAGTGTGCTCGACGGAGGAAGAAGAGCAGGAGGAACAGGAGAAGGAACCGGAACACGGCGACGAGGCGGCGAACAAGGGGTGCAAGAGGAGACGGAGGAGGAGAGTAATAACAAAGCAAAAACGCGCACGAGTGGGTAACGCACGCAAGAGTGAGAGCGAGGGCTCCAAGAAGGTGGATTGTGTACGTGTGCGTGTGCGTGCGTGCGTGCGTGCGTGTGTGTGTATATGTGTGCGTGGTGCGTTATAACGCAAGAGCAAGAGCAAAAAATACAACAGCATTAGCAGATAAAGAGGAGACGAAAGGAAGGAGGGAGGGAGAGAGAGAGAGAGAGAGAGAGAGAGAGAGAGAGAGAGAGAGAGAGAGAGAGAGAGAGAGAGAGAGAGAGAGAGAGAGAGAGAGAGAGAGAGAGAGAGGGATAGAGGAAAAGGAGAAAAAGGAAACAACGTGAAACGCCGCAACGGGTGTCTCCTCCGCGCGGGACGCGAGGTATAATGCTGCGGAGTAACGTGCGAGGCGTGATTGTCGTCGGTTACCTGGATCGATCGGCCGATCGAATTTTCTAAATAGGATACAGAGGTTATAACGCGGTGTACGGCCGCGCCGTACGTGTACATATGTGTACGGGCGCGCGTGTGTGCGTGATTGCTGCGCGCGTACGTGCACAACAGCGTCAAGAGCGACAGCAACAGAAACTACGTCAGCATCATCATCATCGTCGTCGTCGTTCTCAGCCGAGGCCGGACCGGTGAATTGTGCGCCGCCTGGATCGACTCCGGCCCGCCGCCGCTGCGGGAAATTTCGGATCCGGTTCGCTTTCCACGGCTGACGTCATTACCGGTGAGTTGACTTCTCGTCTTATTTCTCGTTTTCTCCTTGTCTCGTGCCGTGTTTATTTTTTCTTTTGTTTCTTATTTTTCCTTTCAACGCCGCCGCCGCCGCCGCGCCACTGTTTTGCTTTCCGCCCGACGGTGAGTGCGCGCGCGCGCGCGCGATCAGCGTGCGCTTCCGCCGCGCGCGGAGCCCGTTATGTTCGCGAGGTCGAGCGTCGAGATTGTATGTTGAGATTGTTTGCACCACGTCGCCGGGAACAATTAGGGAATTACGCCTTTGAGAACACCGCGAAGCGAAGCGTACGCGCGCGCGCGCGTGTTAATGTCGGTCGGGTGAAAAAGAAGAGAAACGTTGAGAAACACCGCGCGATTCTCGAATCGCACACTCGCGATCTCGTCCTCTCATCTCGGCTATGATCGTGTAAGTGATGAAGTAAGTGACGAAGAGAAGAGTTGCGAGATCGAGTCGATCTCGAGTGAATTCTTTCTTCGTGCTATTTCGGAATTTATTAAAAATTTCGAGCGACCGATTCATCGTCGGCTTGACGATCTTTATCGACGCACGCGCGCCGTGTATTGTTCCCCGGTAACTCGGTAATCGGCGAGGTACTTTCCCCACTTTCCACGTCAATGGGCGCAGATTTATCGTAAGATTAACTATGCCCCCTCCCGCGATAAGACCCGCCACATCGCTGTGCGGCGCAGTCTGCGCTTATCTCGTAACATAGCGGGTGCTCGTTTAAATTAATCAGCGAATAACATGGAACGCGGCGATTGATAGGGAAACGCGGTGAGTCCCCGCTTTCTTCAACGGCCCCGCCGATCGCTCTTCCTCCTCCTCCTCCTCCTCCTCCTCCTCCTCGCCCTTCTCCTCTCTCGTACGTGTCTCGTCGGGACACGTTACGACTTTACTTTCGTCGTCTACGCCTTGTTTTATCGTCGTCTATGCAACGACGCCTTTAATCACCGCGTCTGCCCCGATAAGACAGCTAACGACTTTGACGAAAGGTCATCGACTGTTATTTGTTTATCATTGTGCGGGGACGGGATTTCGTAATTTCCCCGAGTGTCCACTTCGCGCCGCGAGTGCGCGTGCGCACGCGCGCGCCCTGTTATTACGGCAATCGAGCTCGATTCATTCCGACTCCGTCGTGGAGAGGAAGAAGGGAGAAAGGGGGGCTATCTCTTATCCGAGTCGTCAAAGAGCACGAACACGCGCACACACGACGGATACTACGAACATGCTAATACACACGTACGTCGCATCCATCCGTTATTTCCCCGCTTACATTTATACACACATGTGGGAACGCTTGTATTTCCGACTCCATGTTTCGATGTATCTCGATCTCCCCCCCCCCTCCCTCCCTCCCTCCCGCACGTACCTCGTCGCGTTAGACAAATCACTTATCGCATTTCGGAATCTATTTTACGATAACCTTATATCATTCGACGCAATTCCGACGTGTCGATGATGTAATTCGGGAAATGCCACGGAGCATTAACAATATACGAGACGCAACTCGCGCGATATCGCGCGAAATTTTTCACTAACCTCCTCCACCCGGTACCCGAGCGTAGATGCGACATTTTGAGTTTCTCGAAGACATCGCGTCGGGGCGATGTCTCGTTTTTGACGCGACCGAGTCGCGTACGAATTAAGGTCGATTTGTTCGAATGATTATTTCGGACCCGAATTATCTGCTGTAATTAAGGCGCAGATTAATAATCACATTTCAGCGTTGATCCTATCGCGTCCGGTAATTAACCGAAGAATATTCGATTCGGGGGAGAGGGAGAGCGACGAATTTGAGAGAGCGAGAGAGCGAGAGAGAGAGAGAGAGAGAGAGAGATGCGCTCTGCGGAGGAAAGAAATTGCTCGTTAGGCGATACATTAACGTGCGTGTAATACCGTATAATCGTTAGAGACACGTAAAAGGAAAATATTTTTGATTCATAACATTACGGTTCGTGGCATTAATTTACACCTTAACGAGACGCCGCCGAGATAAGATACACACCGCCGTCGATTCTCTCCGTTGATTCGCATCGATTCCGCTGAAAAACGCAGCGGGAGATTGACCGTTAATCGTTGTACCGAATGTACACACGCACACACACACACACACACACACACACATATATGTGTATATACACATTCATTTCTTAAGAACCGTCCATCTGGCGTAGCGCTAATTACCGCAACGCGGCGCGCTCTGTCGGTCGGTGGAGGTGATGGCGTGTAACGCGCCCTTATGTCTGTGTTTCTGCCTGCATCATGCGTGCATGCGTGCGTGCCTGTGTGAGTGAGTGTGAGTACGTGTGTACGCGAAATATACGCGTGACGTGTGCGCGTCAGCGAGAAAGTCCGTAATTACCGCAATTTAACGACAGCTCGGTGGTACGGTCTAGCGTATGAAAATGTCGAAGGAGATGAGAGAATACACACACGTCCACCTGCTCGTCGTCACGATCGCCCAAGCAATCGGGAACATGATCGGCTTGCTATTCTGTAATCGTTGGACCCACGATGTGGGACCGAGGAAGGATCTCGGGAACTCGCAGCCGCTGAGTATCCATCAGGTAACAGCCTGGTAGATTCGCGACCGGTATATGTATGCGCACAGCGCGTCGAGTTGTCGTACGCGTCGATATGTATATGTGTGCGTATATATGTGCGTTTGTGTGCGTGAACCCCGCTCCGGCTACTTCTCCATCAGGCGGCTCCGGTCGTTCTTCTTTTACGAGTTCTGCGCGCGGGGAAAGATGGCCGCTCGAGCTATATAGCTCGCGTCTCTCTCCCTCTCTCTCTCTCTCTCTCTCTCTCTCTCTCTCTCTCTCTCTCTCTCTCTCTCTCTCTCTCTCTCTCTCTCTCTCCCTTTCTTTTTCTCTTTCTTCCTCCCTCTCTTCCTCTCTGACCTCTGTGTGTGCAGTTAGACGAGACTGACACGGAGACTGACTGGCAGGCAGGCAAGCAAGCAAGCAAGCAAGCAAGCAAGCAAGCAAGCAAGCAAGCAAGCAAGCAGGCAAGCAGGCCGACGGGCGGTTTTAGAGAAAGTTTAGAGCGGGGGAAGGATGCGCGAAGGCAGCGTATAATGAAGGACATACGCGTGTCGTTCGTCGGCGACTCATTTTTCGAATAGCCAAACGCGTAATAAGCGCCGGTAACGCGATTTCGCGAGTCTCCAAGACAGGCGAATTGGCTGCTTCTCGTTTCATTCGCGATCGAAGGCCTCTCTCTCTTTCTCTCTCTCTCTTTCTCCCCCCTCTCCCTCTCTCTTCCTTCCTGTACGCATCTCGGAACGGTGATTATAAATTTCATATAGTCGTTGGACATGTGAGAAAGAGCGCGTTGCATTTCATACTTCGATCTTTAATTAAGCCGAGATGCGATGTGAAAGGTTAATATATCGATTGAAACGTTATGAAGCTTATTTAATTGAATTTGACTCGGTGTTTCGCGGATGGATTTTAGCGCGGTCTAGCTTAATTAGAGAGAATCAGAAACTCTTTTTTTTTTGTCGAGTGAAACATTGTTAAACGTACCAGGTTACTTTTTACATTTTTTTTATTTAGAAGAAATTAAATCCAGGTTTAATTTGCGTCACGCAATGTTTTAATACGTATAATAATATTGCTAGTATAGATTTTGCAAAAAAGCATCCCGTAGATTTCAGAGTTCGAAGGCTAAGGTCGAGCAAAACGACCGCATACGCTGAGAGAAAAAATATTTAAGGAACAAATATCTGTTCGGTGGTTAGTCATATATTTACTTAAGTCGAAATTGTTTAAGTAGAATAAACACATGCTTCCTCACGAGAAGCTACGATTTAAAAAAAATGGACATTTTCTCTTCTTAAGAATTTTTTTTCGGTATAAAAATACGCATGTTAGTATAAGTACATTACATCCACGTATTAGCATCCACCAAATAAATATTTTTTTATCTTTTAGATATTTTTCCTCTCGGTGAGGTAGTTTGAACTTGAAACGTATAATTTAAAGAAATGACGATGACTACTCCGTTGATTACTCCGAGTTGATTTTTAATTCGTACTGAATCGAGACTCGACGACGCGGTCACGGATCTCGTCGCTCGCGTGTCTTTCGCACTTTATTCGGACCGCAGCGTGCAATTGTTTATGCGGCACAACGGAACCGGAAATTCACGTCGGGAGGAGCAGAGTGTTTCAGACAAATTTTTCATGACGAATACGTCGGCGACTTCCCTTCGCGGGTCGCCGAGGGATCTTTTTCGTCTTCGTGCCGTATATATTCACTTTTCGCTTTCTC